TTTTTTTTATAATCTGTATACGCCGCCTTCTCTCGTTTCCTTTTTCACTTTCTTCGGAATGGAAACTTAAAGAATTGTTTCGGTTCCAATTTTGCCACTACACATGTTCCGCAACAGATCAGAGGAGCCAACCTTCTTTTTTTTCACTATCTTCACTTCTTTCATTAGTTTCATTAGTTTCATTAGTTCCAATTCCTGTATTTCCTGCATTTCCTGGGCTGTGTTCAGTTAAGCAAGGTGGAACGAACTAATGGAGGAAATGCAGGAAATACAGGAATTGGAACTAATGAATTCCTGTATTTCCTGCATTTCCTGCATTAGTTCGTTCCATCTTGCTTAACTGAACACAGCCCTGCATTAGTTCGTTCCATCTTGCTTAACTGAACACAGCCCAAACAGTGTAGTGTATTAAAAGTGTAAGGTGTACACTTTACACTTTTCGTGTAGGCAAGTAAAACAAACCTATAGGCATAGATGGTTGAGCGTCATTATGCGCAGGCGCGTCTACTAAGCGAGTGCGAGCGAAGTTGCGTTCCGTTTCACGCATATGCGCGCATGTATCTATAGTACACGTAACGTATAGTATAGATAAATGCGCGCATATGCGTGAAACGGAACGCAGCTCGAGACAAAGCATTGGAAAGAACGCGAGAAAGAGAAATGCCCATGGAAATAAAGGAGGGAGCGTTGTCGAAAAAAGGTGAAGCCTATGCAGCCATGTTTATATGAGCCACTAGTACTGCCATCTGTTAGAACTTTACAATACTTCGATGAAATAATGCCCGGAATGATATTTTAAGAAATCTAATAAACATATTTATTTAAAAAACTAACAAAAAAAACAAAATTTAATAAATATTAATTATAAATATTATATTATAGATATTTATAACATTTAATAAATACAGGTAAATAAAGAAGTAAATAAAAAAAATAACTTATAAACATAATTTACTGTCTTGCAAGTAATATTAATTTATTATAAAAATGTCTCTTGCTTACATTAATATTCTTATTATTCTGTTTTACAATATAAAATATCTTGTCTGTACATATTTTATTATAATATTTTTAATTAAATTTATTCTATGACATGTTAAAAAGTTTTGATCATATGAATGAGTTATCAATTCTTCAAATATATTAATCATATTTAAAGTTAAAAGTACATTTTGTGTAAATATAAAGAACGGAATATTTTGAACTAGAAGTTATATTATTTTCTTTTATAGCAAATCTGATAATCTTTTCTGTTTCAAGGCATATTTTTATCACGCTTTCTGAAGGATATGTTAAACTTTCACGATCTTTTATTTGTATAATTTTCTTTGATTTACTATTATCAATTAAGGCATTAACACAAATATCACACATGATGTATTTAATTAAATGTCTTACAATAAATCCAGCTATGTAACTTATGACTTCTATGGAATATTGATCTAAATTAATAATATTATAAATTAATGCTGCAATATAAGGATGATCGTGTTCAACTGAAATTTGATTAATATACTTTTCAGCGTCAAATTCATAATTATCGATCATACGATCAATCATACAAGTTTTATTTATTCATTCCTCTGGTTTAAGTACACTTTCTTTCTGTCACTAACAGATTAATACGCATCAACGTCAAATAATACTACTCTCAATGTGTTGAAATAATACCACTCTCATCAAATAGATAGCAGCACTAGTGGTTCTTATAAATATGGCTGAAGGTTGTTTAGAGGTCAAACTCCCTCCGCACCATGGCTTCACTCCCCGCGCCTACAATATCCCTTAATGCTCGCTCCTTTATCTCCATGGTGTTATCATAGTGCTTTCACTGTGGCATTACTGTGCGATCAAAGTGGCGGTATGTGTGGCTTTTGGAATATGCAGGAATTGTGAGGTTAGGTTAGGTTAGGTTGTGACCGGACGGACTTGGTGATTTTGTAAAAAACTGTCCCGGTCGCCACCTACTTTCACCGCCAAGCAGGAAGGATCACAACACGGCCCGAATAACACAAAGGACTTACCGTGTTGGTCACTCAGAGCGACGTCCCATTGAGCGGAAATCTATAGCGGAACGAAATGTGCGGAACCAGCTCGACCAATCGTAACCACGGAATAAGCGAAGGAAAGAAAACGGAATGGCTATGATTGGTTGAGCTGGTTCCGCACATTCCGTTCCGCTATAGATTTCCGCTCAATGGGACGTCGCCCTCAGAGTTCTTTGTCGGCACGCCGCTTGAGATAGTTCGACGGCCGTCGGACACGCAGGAAATCGGTCCTGAACATGAGTTAACGAAATAAGTAACGTTTATAGTTTAACATTATGATGTCACTTTATTTTCAGCAAAGCTGCAGACACTTGTGTTGAACACACTTATTGAGTAGACTCGTTGTAATAACGCGCAAAAGAACACCATACGATGTGCTCGGCATGAGCGCTCGAGATCGACTCCCTGGGAGGAGCGGCTGGTCTCGCCACGACGCTTCCCCCACTCTGGCGCATGCGCACAACCTATCTGGCGTAGTCATTGTGGAAAGTAGATGGAACTTCTGGGGATGACTTCCCGGGCTTTCCGAAACTTTCCCTCAACATTTCGCTAACAATTCATTACTTTTACAGTTTTATATGGTATAATTTTGAAATTGCCGAATTGTTGAAAATTTTGACGCGGACTGTTTATTTATGACTAAATAAACACTCCCTATGAATTTTATGAACAATTAGCCAGATTAATTTAAATTTTATAAGTTCTTCCAAAATTGCCTAATTGTGACTTTTTTTGTTTCAGGAATGTTCCAGATGCCACGAGGGATCACCAGGTAAGTATTCATGTACTTTTACCGACTTTTTCCAAACTAATGAAATTTTCAGGTATAAACAAAATTTAGCCGAATTGTTAGAAATTTTGATCGCAAGTGTCCCTATTAGTTTTACAACGACTATTCCAGATAGTTTTTCCAACAACTCACGCTTTTTACTTTTTCAGATAGAATAATCTCTAATCAGGTACAAACTTAAAAGTCCTTAATGTCGATAAAACTTTGGGGATCATCCTAAACTGGTACAACTAACACTTCCCAAGAATATTGTCAACAATTGAGGTTTTATTCCCGATACGCATCTCTGAAGTAAGTACGCACTTACAAACTAAAACTTCCTAATTGTTTACCAAAATTGCAGGATGTGATGTTGGTCCATCCAGGAATGCGCACACAAAACTTCCGTAACAATTTGCCTCTCAAACGGAAACCGGAGGTAACCCAGGTATGATACTAAACTATCCTAATTGTTGTAAATTGTGCCTACTTTCCAGTCGGGGAGACCTACTAAACACTTTCCAAGTGTTTTTATCAACAATTAATTTCTTTTATTTTGTAGATACACGGCAACCCTATCGGGCGTATTCCGTTTGACCA